GATGCAAAGAGGGCATTTAGTAAGCCATCAAAGTCCCTGGTGTGTCTAGATAAGCTCACTGATGTTGTTTCTTCTATTTTCAGTGTCTTTGTTGCTCAAAGGCAGTTTCTGGAGCTGCTTTGCTTTAGCTGTCTTTAGTGTTTTGTTTAAGATCCACATAGGAAAGCAACATAAAAATGCTGCAGTGGCTAGAAACCTAATTTATTTTTAAGTGCATGTTAGATAACATACAATGTTATTCTTATGAATGTATTTACCTGTACTGAGTCAAATGAACACCACAGCTTTTTATTGCCTGGCTTCACTTTTCACATCATGATACAACATACACACACTTTCCCATTCAAATCAATGGGAAATTGCATCTATGCTCATGAGCAAAGTGAATGAATGAACGAATGAACTTGTATTCATAAACTGTGGAACTGTAAATGAAGCTGTAGTGCATGCAGAGTCTAGTAAACCTATTTCAAGTGGATTACTCAGGGATTGAAAGTGTATCTATGTGTTTCCTAAGTTTGCGTATACTGTATATTGCACAGCCAGACATTTAATGCTCCAGACATAAGAGGTCGACTCCTCTATCAATTTTTATTGCATTTTTTGGAACATGTTGTCATTAAAAGTTTCAAAGTATAAAGTGTTTTCAGCTGCATGGCTCAAATGTTTCTGTGCAATGTTAGTGTGTGTCTGGTGGTAGTGTTGGTTGGCTGTTAACTCGCCTCTAAAATGCTTGTAATGGTCAAACCAGCTACCATAGGACTGAAGATGATAATAAAGGGATGTTTTTTCCACTCAGCCACATATTAAAACCTCACCTTCTCATCGTCCTCAGTAAAGGGTGTGCCCGTGCGATTTTTGTTGATTGCTTGCACAACACCTATGACTTCTCCATCACTGTTGCAGATGGCCATACAGAGGATGGACTGAGTCTTGTGGCCTGTTAACTTGTCTATCTCGTCACTGAAGCGGTGGTCCTGGAATAAAAACACATTCATAATCCCACATGAATGCCGGGGTACATCTGACTTTGTATGACCACAGTCCTGCATTATTTGGGTTTTATGTGCTTGTCCCACACATAAAGCAGCGATGGAGCAATGATGAGCCTAATGATTTTTAAACTCATTACTCTGCAGGAGACCTGTTGTTTTTACTATAAGCACAAAAACTATAATAGCTCTGTGTGACGCATACAGTAAGTACACTAATGCAGTAATAAATCTGAAGGGGATCTGCATCATCATTTTGCCTTAGCTTCCCAAGCAGCCCAGGGCTATAATATAATGACGTGGCGCGCAACTAAGACGAGATTGCTTCATTTTTTGCCTTTTTCGCTGACTGGGAGAAAGAGTTTTTGTTTGGTTATGACTCAGGTACCCAGAGTGAACCTCCCCGTTTCTTCTAGGTGAGCGACCCGTCATGCACAAAAGTTTTTAGTTCAGCATAACACTGTACTCTTCAAAAACAACCCGATTAAAATGTTTTGAACAGTTTTGAATTTGTGTGTGTGTGTGTGTGTGTGTGTGTGTGTGTGTGAAAAATACAACCTGCAACAAAGAGTTTATGTTCAGGTTTTATCCCTGAAAAAACAGTGGCCCGATCCTCACACTAGCTGTACATTCGTAATCAGTAGTTTTTATTCATTGTAACTAAGTCAAAGTTAACTTTTGTCTGAATATAAGATATATTACACTCTCTCCATGCTCTGCCACATATCCAATGATACCCTTTCCCCATTGGAGTTTAGGGGGCTGGAGGATGATCTGACCGTGGTGCCTGAGTGCACATCAAAGAATTTGGATACTAGTGTCTTCTTGTGCGCGGGTCCCTCGACGAGGGAAAGCGAACACCGGTCTGCATCCACCAGGATACACACATTGATCAGGATCTTATAACTGAGGTTTGTCAGGTCCAAATCATTGGAGATATCCTTCACTAACTCCAAGAAAAACTCCCTCTCGTTGGTTTCCTTGAGTCTGTTTTTGTAGTCGATGGCGCTGGACGCATACTGGGGCACGCTGACCCTGGACTCCAGCAGAGCGCTCTGGATGTGCGCCGTTGTCGGAGGCAGGGAGCTGGCTTTACGCAGGAGCGCACGGCGCCTCGTGCTGGACTTGGATTCGTGTTCTGTTAGGCTCGCGTGCGCGTCGTAGGTCCGGTGTGCAGTGGTGGCTTTGGACCGGGCGAAGTTTCGTTGCAGTTCCATGTGGGACGATCTGCGTCGGAGCCCGTCTGGGTTGGTTGGCCAGAGCGGGTCCCTGACGCAGGCTTCTCCTCGGCTGTGGGCATTTTTTGACGGCTGATGTTCCTTCAACGACCTGCTAACCTGATCACATTTTGCCTTTCGAACGAGATGCTGCTCGAAGAGATCTGGGTGGCAGTCCAAAAACGCCTTTATATCCGAGAAGTCAAATGTTGTCATGGTGAAAGCTAAGACACTCAAGTGAACTAGAACAACAATTTGATGAGTAGATGATGGAGGGGATGCGACTACAGCCACGCTTCTTAGAGAAGTGATATCATCCTCAAACCATATATTAATTCATCTCCCATATAAGACAGTCCATAAAGAACCCTTCCCTGAAATACTGGGTGCAGAATATAGCTGCAGTTTATTTGAGAATTAACCGGTGACGCCCGAGACGAGCTACAGCTGTCGATCAAGAGAGACTGAGTTGTGTCTCTGGGGATTTCTCTGGAATACTATGCAGAGGTGTAGAAAAACAAGGCTGCATTCTTTCTAGGAGCTGAAAAAACTGCAGGGCATGCTGTTCACTCGCTCTTTTTATTCCACACCACCAGAGACCCTCTGTACAGGGCTCCAATCAAAACCAAGTGCGAATTTTGCTCCGTTTACATTTAAACCAAGCAGGCAAGACGATGCATTCTGAATGTAGATACTGTGAAATGTACAAAAGGAGTAATCACCCTGTTTTAAATGACAGATGGCATCAACAGTAAAAATATGTGCAAAACCACACAAAGAATACATTTATTTAGGAAGGTACATTTATGATTAAGAAGTAGATAGATATATAGAGCAGTTGTAAAGGTATACAAGGACCTCTGGCTTTCTTGCCTTCTGAATAACCATGAATAACTCAAGGGCACCTGGCTCCCAGCCAGTGGAATGTGACTGAATAGATGGAGAGAGAACGTGAAAACGCACCAAGAAAACGTGTTATATTGTCACAGTGTTTGAGCTAAGTTCCATGTAAGAGATGCCAAAAGAAGCCACATAGATGTGACTTTCATTAAAGTGTTTCCCATAAACACACCTGTTCATTATCTTAGAGTCAAGTGACCTTGTAATTATAAATTATTGTACTGTTTAGTTTTGTTTTTTTTACTCCCACCTGACTCTCACATACACCTCCCTACACATTGTCCAAACACCCACACACTTGGCTGTACCTCTGAGCTGTGAAAGGTGTTTTTTGAAATATGAAATTAATGACATTTTTTCCATAGCTGTGCTTTGAGGTGCAGGTCCAAAGGTTCATCTTTTATTCTTTCATTCTCAGTTCACATGGAAGAAATAGTGTGAATGCCTCCAAAAACTCTACAAGGCAGCTCGTAGTCCACCAGCAAAGGAAGGATAAATTATCAGCTGGGCAATACTGGCAACTCCCTCAGAGATAGGATGGCTGTGCACTGGTGGGGTACAAAGAACCTGGCTGTGACACTGTAGGCCACTGCAGCAGTGAATGCTGATGTCCTTTAACTACAACCATGATATTTCCCTAACCTTCAGTGTTTTAGTTACACAAACATGACCAAACCTTACAGTCACAAAGTGCTCAGATACTGTAAGTAGTTTTTGTTGTTGAATCGAGAAATGATCCACAGTGTTTCTCTGTTTCAGTGCGAACAGGTGCAACTGCACATACACATTGAGAGCCGCTGTACTAGAGTCAAATTCCTCATGTGCTTGAATGTAATTAGTTACTTTTCACGTTTGCTTACAAGATGAGTATTCTTATATATAAAACTGTTAAAAGTTAGATGCCTAAAAGTAAATTAAAACCCAGTAAACCTGGGCCTCAGGCCAGGTAGTACTTTGGGCTTACTACCAGTTGGTTTCAGGGATTGGTTTGGAGCAGGTGGGGTCAGCTGATCATTATTGGCCTCTAGCAGGTGACACATGGGATTAAGATGGCAATTTGCAACAGGAATGGAGAAAATAACCAAGGTCACATATTTTTCCTTTAGAGAGAGGTGAATTAATTTCTTGTGGTGTTTCAGAGGTTATTGATCATGTAACTATAGGAACTACAAATTAAGTTCAAGTTAAATTTGGTGTATTAAACTCTGTAGGGGTCAAGCATCAACCTGTTTCTGCACAGTTACTTAATATTAGAGACGTCACTGCAGGCTATGCTACATTCATACTGCAGTGGCAAGAAATGCAGCCCAGAGAGAAGCTGCTCTGCTGTTACAGGAAAAGGTAATTGGTTACTGGATTTAGATCTGGGTGTTTTGTTGAGATTTTGGCCAAGGTCACTTGGGAATCCCAATAAAAAAGCAGAATGCAGAACATCAGGTTTCTGATGATGTAAGAATGGAGAGAAATCAGGTGCATTGTGCATCTTTAAACCTGGAAATGCATTTTTTCAGTTAATTCTTTACTATGACTAATGGGATCTTACACGAGTGTCATATTGTCTGCCAGGGTTTAGCAACTGAATCAGAATCAGATGGTGGTGGGTTGCGTGGTTACTGTTAATGAAATGAAATCTGTTTAAATCACATCCAGTCATGAGAAACATAAATCTCTGAGCATAAACCTTTAATAAACATTATGTTTTACAACTTAAATTCTTGTTCCCTTTAGCTATGAACATATATTGTTTAGTGAAATACATAAGATATGAAACCAGGTTTTTAGGGCCTTTAATGTGGGCAGCATTGTTTTTATATTAAGCAGTGCATGTAATGAATTTGACCCCAAAATGTGGGCTGTAGACCATATGGCTTTATAGGTCCCGTAATAAAATCAAGGACTATTTTGACTCGCTATTATAAGGGCTGGAACAGCAAGGTGCCTTCACTGAGACAAAATGTTTAATTAACCCCAATCCCCCATGACAACAAAAACAGAGGAATCATATCGCAGTACATCTAGTCATTCACTAGAAGAAAATGTTCTAGACAGTGAGCACACAATTTATAACCCAGCATAAGAAGAGAGTGTTTCTCAGGTGAAAATGATCTTCTACAGCATCCCTGAAGCTTGGGCAGTTTTCTTAGATATTGTCTAAGACACAACTGTTTTTATGTTGCACAGAAATGGAGACAATGAAACATTACTCCTGCAACCAAACACCACCGGCACACAGCTTGTATCTAGTGTCACCGTGTGTGGGCTTGATTTTCATTCCAGCCCAGGTTTAGTTGTATGAGCTCATCAAACTGTGAACATGTAATATTATCAGATCCTCATGTAATGACAGGATAATGGCCATGCTGAGCAGTGATTGAATATGGACATACTTAGAAAACTAAATGTTTCTGTGACATTGTGTGTGTGTTTAGTTTGGTCTTACAAGCTCTTTTTAAACTTTTAAACCACACCTCTGAATCCAAACCAGTCTCTTTAGCCACAGGTGAAGAGGAAGAAGTCTTGTTCTGCCAGTGAGACATTTCCACTCTTCTCCATTCGGACAAAGACGACTGCTACTGATACGGTATCTGCATCAGGAGGACAAAAGAAACCTCTCTGGATTAGTTTCCTGTTTAGTTTCCACTCTACCACTGGCCACGTAAGTGGATGTGACAGAATCTGTTGTGTGTGAGATTATATTTTTAGTTATTTTGTAATTATTTAATAAATATTCATGGTTGATGTCCATGTAGCAGGAATTACATAGATGAAGACGATAATGACATGTTTGCAAGTTTGCTATAACTTACTTTATGTTAAATGCTATAAACCCATGTGTGAACATACACACTGTTTATTCTATAAACCAAGCTGGTTGTGTGACTGTCAGAATTTTTAATGACCAAACCAGTGGCCATAACACCTATGATAAATTACTGTGAATGAACACTCATGATAAAACAGCTGTCCCTGTGGCGCTGTCGCAACAACCTGGAGCTGAACACGTTCAGAACAGTGGAGATGAGGAGGACCCCACCCCCACACCATACTCAGCAGCACTGTATCAGCAGTAGAGTCCTTCAAGTT